GCGGGAAGCTCCCACTGGGTTCCGCCAAAAGGAAGCCCGCAGCCTAGCCGGGATTTACGTTTGAGTAAGCGGGCTTGGCACGAAAGGCTCTTGGGCGGCCAGCCCGGCGGCTGCTGCTGCTGCTTTCCCGGAGTCAGAGGGCAAAACTCGGAAGGTGCCCTGGCTGGGCGCCCCATCGGCTCTTGCTGACCCTCTCGACTTCCCAGTTGGCCTCTTCTCTGCCCGGGAAGCCCCGGATCTGCAGGGGAGAATAATTGGAAGGTGGTGGGGAGGAAGGACCTGTTATTTGGGGGAAAATACTTCATTCCAGCAAGGACAATCGTTTCTTTTCTTCTTCTTTCTTCTTCCCTTCCTTCTCTTTGCAAAGCCACATCCCACCTTTGAAAGTGGATCCGTTGACAAGTAAGGGTAATAAATGAGGGGCGCTTTCAGATAGGTATCTCAGACGTGAAATTGCGCCCAGCTGGTTGTGTAAGCAAACAAATCGGCCCCCATGTTCCAGGCTCTCGACTTGTGGCGGTGATGAATGCCAGAGGTAAATGGCTCTTTAACTCGTTTAGGAATAAAAAAAAACTCTTTTGGCTTCCCGAGTCAAAGCGCTCGGAAACGGCGTGGATCCGGCGCGAGGTTGTTGGGTTTTTTTTTGTTTTGAACTAGAGTTTTAGTGGCCTTTTACTGCCCCCCCCCCCCTTTGTTTTTTTTTCCCCCCCCCCCCCCCCCCCCCCCCTCCGCAGCACCTCAGGGAGCTCTCGTCAAAACGCGGACTGGTTAGGAAGCCCCGGCAGGCCCGCGAAGCAGCCGCTCGCTCCCGGCAACCTAGAAGGCCGTGGCAAAGTCGTTAGGCTGACCGTTCGCCTTTTCCCTTGGAAACCCATTAGAAAAGATGGACCCGTTTTCTTTCTCCACGCTATTTTCCTAGCGGACGGTGTGTGTGCCTTCTTGGGAAAAAAAAAAAGCTCAATTTGTTGACATCCAGGCTAATGACCTGGGTGGAGAGGGGAGATGCAGAATACATTCCATTCTTTTTCATCTCTTCTCCCTCTTTGGGTTAAGGATAGAAATAAGTCCATTGCAAAAACCTGGGAGTCAGAGAGAACATGAAGTGGTTGGGGAATATATATTGACTCCTCTTTCTGTGGAGAGTTAAAGACTACCTTAAGAAGACCAAACACCCCATTCTGACCTGAAGACCAGACACAAAACTAACTGCAACCCAAATCCTGTCCTGGAGGAACCCTGGGGTCGGGGTCTTTTTGTCCAGGCTTGTGATGGGGCAACTCAGTTTATGGGTCAGTTCTTCTGGGCTTCTTAAAACGGGAGGTGTTAACCTAAGTAATACAAAAAAATTCAGATGAAGGGATACTTTTAAACTCCTATTTTTAAAAATCCCAGTTTAAGCTTTTCCAGTTAACTGCAGAGAAATGTAAAACTCTCATTCTCTGCAAACATTTTATCTGCAAAGAAAAATCATTTGACTTGAAGGTTAAATTCTATATTTTTAAAAAATCATATGCTGACTAAAGTTACTTCATGATGAGGGGATGTAAAAGGAAGCAGGCTAACTAAATTTCTTTTAATAGCATGAAGAAAAGTCTTTAGCTTGGAACTTTTTATAGATGTTTTCTTTGGTATATTGCCACTACTTTTTACATGGAGACTGTCCAAAATACACTTGCCCATTGCCTCTTTTAAGCATGAGCCAATAGTCCCTTTTTTTCTCTTCCTTTTATTCTGAAGTCTCCCCCCCCTCCCCCAGCTTCTAGTTTCTTACAAAAATAAATCTGCTTTCTTCTGTTTATTAGAAAAAAGACCACAGATAATTCTCATATAGCAATTATGGGAACCCAGGCACGTCGTCTCAATTTTAAAAAAAGCAACAACTAAATTGGTTGTGGCTGAATTCCACTCATCATCCAAAGGCCTACAAACAAATTAAACCCAATTGATGATTGGGAATACACCAAATGTTCATCAATCTTGGTAGCATCCATTCCCCTAATTTTCTCCCAAAATCAGTTTACCCCTTCCTGGTTCCTTCTGAGATCTTGGGTCAATATTCCCATTACCACAACTAACAAAGACGGCTGCTCCTGTTGACATGAGATGCTGGGATGTGTAGTCAATAAGATCCACAGGCACCAACCACCTGGTTGAAAGAAGGGTGGTTCCTTTACTTTAAGCACTTGCAGTGTTCATCTGTCAACAAAATGCTGAAGGTTTTTTTTTTCCTCCTTAGAAAGATGTAACCCTTTTTCTCATGAAGGGTGAGGGAACCTCTAATGCTTGTCCTTGAATACAGCAACAAATGAGCTTGTAGTGAGCACGTGCAAAAGGTACTATTTTAGAGACAGCTTTAAATTTCAGATATTTGGAGAAAAAATAGAGCTGTGTGCTTAAAGCCATAATTTCACTTTGCAATATGACACACACAGAGAGAGAGAGAGAGAGAGAGAGAGAGAGAGAGAGAGAGAGAGAGAGAGAGAGAGAGAGAGAGAGAGAGAGAGAGACAACATCCCTTATCAAAATTCTTGAAATTCCCACGACTCATTTCAAAACACCCCCAAGTTTGGCTGTCTAGAAAAGGCTAGATTGAAATCAAAGAGCAGGAAGTCTGTTTGGGAAGAGGGTCTCTGTCACTGCACTAAAGATGAAGTCAAGGCCATAGAACTGCAGCCTAAGTGGCATCCTGGCTTCAAGTGCAAATCAAGGTTTATTTGGCAACCTCGCCCCCTTCCACAGAGAGCAGGATATACTTTGCGGGGTTTATTTATTTTGTTCATTGTTACTGCTAGTCTCCATACTACCCACAGCACTTAGATAACCTTGGAAGATAGCTCTGGTTTCTAAAACATTTTTTCCTCTCTCTCTTTTTTTTGGCATGGCTAAAGATGTTGTGTTGTATGAGTAGAAGCAAAAGGCTTTTTTTTAAATTAAGGCAGCTGGCCAGCTGAGATTCTGTGCACCTTATTGGCTCAATGTTTTCCAACAAGCACCGCTTGATTTCTCCCTCCCTTCTTAAAACAAACTGGGAAGTAAGGCCACATCCTAAGTATTACAGCATTGGAAATAAAAAAGAAAACCTGGTTGTGATAGCCTCAGCCATGTAAAACCAAGGCTTTTCTCCACACCTCATCAAGATTTTTTCATTCCTTCCAGTTTTAGAACATTTATTCATATTATGGATCTTGAAAAATGAGTTAGGGTGGGACGGAAGAAAAAAAAAAATGACCTGAGAAATCATAGCCTGGTTTTATGAACTGGAATCCATCTTACAATTCGAAGAATGCTTTGGGGTTTTCTCAAGGACCTCCAGGCCACCAAGGGCTAGATAGTGAAGGTCAATCAAAGACACATACAGAATATATTAAAGTGTCTGATTCTAAAGGTAAGCTTCTCTGGCCTCACGCTGCTGCAAAAATTAGAAGGGCGTGTTTTAGGCAGTTTTAGGCGGCACTGAACCAAATGAAAGCCAAGCTACCCTCTTCTTCCTGACAAGGACTAGTCTTTCAGACCAGGGGATGATGGCAGTGATTATACAGCTGTAAATGCTCTCCTCCTGGAAATTGGAGCCCATTCGCTCACTCTCCTAGGATCTCTTGCATTTGGAATATTGAAGGAAGGAAGGAAGGAAAGAAGGGAGGGAAGGAGGGAAGGAAGTCAAGTAAGTTAGGCTGGAAAAGCTTGTTAAGGAAAACAAAAAGATGCAGGAATGCAGGCAGCCAATTAATTGGGGAGAAACTTGGCATCAATTTCTATAGCTGAAACTCCTGCCTTATCTCGAACCCTTCCTAGTTTGGAGGACTAGGAGGAGAAGCTGAGAGAGAGGATGTGGGCGGGGGGAGACTTGCAAGGCATGTTATTTTTAAAGATCCGGCTTTATTAATACGTTAAGAAAGAGCTCCCTTGGCAGCCTGGGTTCTTAGAGCTCCATCTCAGATCCTATAAAACATTAATGCGCTGAAAGCTGTTACTGGGATTGGCAGAGACCCGCTGCAAGCCCTGGGAAAGTTGTCTTCAAAAGGGGTTCTTGGAGATGAGAATCTGCTGATGCACTTGGAGGGAGGGAGGGGTTGGGTGGGGGAGAAAGAAAGGTGGGTGGGAGAGGGAGCTTTCACTCCTCTGTGTTCAAACGAAGGAGAAGCCTCAAGGAGACTCCTCAGTGTTCCCCACCGCCACCCCCACCCCAGGAAGGACACAGGCCTGACCTTGGGTCTGAACAGACCACCAGACATCTATATCTACAACTAGCTCGCTTTTGCCCTCATGCACCCTTCTGAAGACCAGATCACCTGGGAATCCTTCTCTGAAAGGATCCAGAAACCTGAAGTCACACTAACTGATATTGGGGTGTACATGTGTGAGGGAGTTCAGGACCCATAAAAAAAATATTTAACCCTGACAAAGGTTAAACCCCTCCCTCCGTCACATAGAGTATTCCCATTTCCCCGGATTATGCACACAGAAGGGCTGAAAGCCACCAGTAGGCTATTAAAGGGATTCTCCAACTTTTTATGTACTGTCCGCTTCAGTCACAACCCTTGTAACCTCAGACCAATGGGGCCTAGAGGCAGAGGCACCTTTCCAGACACCAGGTTCAGCCTGTTATCCCCCATTCCCGCCTCTTGAAACTCTTTGCGGATCCTGCCAAACCAAGGATTGGTGAGGGGGAGAGAAAGAAGGACCCCCGGCTCTACAGATAACCAAGTGGGGAGGGGAACTTCGAAGAGCACAGATTTGGGGGAGGGCAGCGGGGGATTCCGGTCCTTCAGGGTGTTCTTGCCTTTTGTTTCTTTTTGCTAAATTCTTTTATTTTTGCTTAAATTCTCACTTCAATTTTTAATTCTTGAAGAACAGCTTCAACAACATATATCGCACTCATTATAAGAAGCAAAGGGTTATATCAAAAATTATTAGTATAGAATCACAGGAAGCCTGGTTTGGAACCAGAAAAAAAAAATACAAAACAGATATAGATACATACACACAGAACAATTCCTTGTTTTTTTTAATAATTATTTGGAAAAACGTTATTTTCCCCCTCCCTAAATTTTTGTTTCTTGTGTTGGTTTTTCTTCTCTCCTTTATGCGCATAACGATGTTTTAAATTTTACAAAAAACGTGAAAATAAAGACTAATATTTTACAAAATGAAGATCAATGTTCGCGGTCAGTGTTTCCCTCCCGTTTCCCCCTCCCCCTCGGTCAGTCCGGCTTCAGTTTCGTTTCTTAAAACCACGTTTGCTGTACAATTGATCACCCTTTCGGTCCGCGATCAATCCAGGGAAATCCGTCTAAATCCTCTTCCTCTTTCCTCTCTTTCTCGGAGGGCGGGTGGGCGGGCAGTATTATAGTGAGAAAAAAAACAAAATCCCTTCGGTCTTTGCTATTTTTTGTTCCTTCGTTTGTTAAAAGTCTCCCACCTCGGGGGTCGCCGTTGGTTCCACGCAGGCGAGCTGCCCCGCGTTTTGGCCGCCGCCGGGCCGGAGTTGCCAGCTTCCGCCAGTCTTTTCCTTCCAGACGAGGTTTCCGGGCTCCCGGCCTTGGGGAAGCGGGGCGTTTTTGTGGGTCCCTTTCTTTGCTCTCGCTCTCTCCTCGGACCCTCCCCCCCCGTCTGGCCGCCCAGCCGCGAGGCCCGTGGGCGGATGGCTAAGCGGGGAGGGGGGCGGCAGGGGCTGCTCTAGGAACACTGGATCGACATGTAAGGCCAGTTGAAGCTGCTGCCGGAGAGCAGCATGTCTCGGATGAGCGTCTCGATGGGGGTTTTACCTACCAAGCGGACGAAGAAGAGCTGCTCGATGACCGACGAGGAGACGGTGCGCAGGGAAGGCAGCCGGAGGAGCAGCTTGCCGAAGCGGCTGGGCTGGTTGGGGTACTGGCTGCGCACGTATTCCTCCAGGGCGCACTGCGATTTCTCCTGCAGGCTCTCGATGTGCGCCGCGTCCGACAGGCCACAGGCATCTGTCCGGCCACCAGGAGAAGCAGCGCGGGCGGAAGGGAGAGAGAGAGAGAGAGAGAGCAGGGCAAGAGGGTTAGCGAGGGCTGGCCATCCCACTCTCGTCCTTTCCCGACCGGGACCCAGGAGAGCCCCCCCCCCTCTCCCCCCCGCCGCCGTTGCCTTGCACGGGCTCCCTCTTCATCTGAGGGAGTCTCTATTTTTTTTTAAAGGAGGGCTGGGTGGGGTGGGGTGGGGGAAACCGGACCGACCCTTCTCGGCCCGGCAGCCACGCGGCTGCAGTCGCCAGGAAGGGCCCAGGCCTCGCTTCCTTCCCTGAGTTGCATCCTATTGTTAGCCGGTGGACACGCGCACTTGCGGGGAGAGAGAGAGGGGGGGGGGGGGGGGGCCGCCCGGCCCCCCCCCGGCGGGGGGGGGGGGGGGGGGGGGGGGGGAGTGGGGAGGAATCCTTCGTGGGCAGTCTGCCTTCCGGTGCACCCTCCACTCCCGGGAAAGGCTCCGGGTGGGCTGAGCGGGGCCAGAGGCTGCGCATGCAGGCGAGAGAGCCGAAGCAGGCTAGGCTAAGGATCCGAGCGGATCGCTCGCACGAAAGGCGGCCGCCTCCATTTCCGGGAGGGGAGGGGCGCGAGGAAGGCTGAGAGAGAGAGAGAGAGAGAGAGAGAGGCTGCGAGGGAGGCTAGCCGCGCGCTCGCTTTGTCTCTGGCGCTAGAGACGCTGGAGTCAGGGAAATGTTGGTCGCGTCTCTAGAAGCCGGATCATCATTGCCGGGAAAATGGCTCGGCTCCCTGGCCTCCTCCTTCCCCCACCCCGCTTCCCCTGCCTTGCGCTTCTAGGGGCTTCTTCTGCAGCTGCTCTCGCTCGCCTTCACAAAGCTGCGCCGCCTGCCTGGCCCGAGCTGGGAGGCGGCATCTCTAGCCGAGCAAGGAGGCCTCCAGAAAAGACGGGAAAGTGCCTAGCACCGATTTCCTTTCGGAGGGGAAGGGGACGCATTGCCCGGAGCCGGGAAACTGCAGAAGAGGAACCCAACCCTTCCCATAATCGATTTTCTCCCTCTCCCTCCCCCTCCCTCCCTCCCTTCTTCCTCGTAGGGTTAAAAACGAGAGGGCCGAGGTATCAAGCCATCCTTCTAGTAGTTTCCCCACCGTTTCTATTATTGTTGTTGTTGTTGTTGTTTTAAAAACAGGTTACAGGTACGGGGAGGAGGGAAAAAACCCCCAAAAAGCCCAAGGAAAAGAAGCGAGGGAGGGAAGAAGCCACCTGCGCATAAGCCGCGGGTGCTTCAGGCAGGGAAGCGGGGAGCCGCTGTCGTGTGCCTTGTTCAGATTCGCAACTTGTTTTCTTCTATCAATAATAAATATTTCAAAACATCATGATCACAAGGCAGCCGTCAACTAGCAGGGCGGTTTAGCGGAGATCAAAGCAGCTTTTGAGATGGATGTGCTTGTGTGCATGTGCGCCCCCCCCTCCGTGTGGGAAGTGTCTGTGTGTGTGTGTGTGCGTATGTATGTATGAATGTAATAATCTGGGGGGAGGGTCCTCCTAAGCGGAGCTTAAAAATCTCACACCTTAGAAAAAGGCAATGAAAAATTATTTGCACTATTCTTTCTGAGCTGTTGTTTTAGCTGGCATTGCGTATTAGTTTTGTGGCGAGGGATCTCCCATTTTCAGGCTATCAGGGCTATCAAAAGATTGCCAGACACCTTCATGCCCACGCTTCTGGCCTCAAGCGAAAATAGAAATAAACCAAGCTATAATTCAAACGCTTCTGAGAAAAGACCTTGCTGACCCCAGCTACAGTCTAAGGAGCGCTTAGATGTACAATTACGCACGCCCGACTGTTGTGCTAATCCATGCTTTTGCCTTAAATGCAGTGATCATTTGCAACATCTAAAATCAGGGGAGGAGGTGCAGGGAGAAAAAAGAGAGTAAAATGTGTATGTATGTGAGAGAGAGAGAGAGAGAGGAAAGGTGGGGGGAGATTGCAATGCACAGACGTCATGCAACAGAGCCCTGCCCTTATTTGTGGTCCATTATAGTGAAGAGTCACTATCTTCTTTAGCTGTGACTAAGAGATCTTCCTCCTCTTACACCCACTAGCTTCTACTCCCCCGTTTGCCACATTGCCCTTTTCCACCAGGGTCTTCAGGCAACTTCTAAATAAGGCAGGATGAAAGGGTCTAGTTGCCTCAGCACATCTCTTTGGAGGCTCCCTGCCCTATTCTCTGGATTGGTGAAATATTTATTTCTGCTTCTGCTTTCTCCAGCTTGAGGCCACCACTGGGATTGTGAGAAAAGAGCATCGACAAAGCTCCCCTCCCCTTCTCCTTAATATATCCAACAGATGCTTAATAAATCATATCTTCTTCTGCTATTCTTCCCCCCCCCCTTCTTTTTCAAGCTGTACTCCTACCTAGCACATGAGGCTTTGAATGTACTTGGCACTCAAGGTAATTCTCCCATCCCCAGCAAACATGTCTGGATCTTTTTGACCAGACAATCTGAAAATTAATTAAACAATCTGTGCTATCGGATCTATCCTCTGATTGAGTTGAGATGAACATAGTAGACCAAAGAATGCGAGTGGTGTATATTCTATTCGTCTTCTTTAGCTTACTTCTTTGTAGAGAGAAAAGAGAGGAGGAGGACTAGGAAGGCAGGAGGCTGGTGGACATAGAAACTGTGTTTCTCTCACTTTTTCAAGAGATTATAATTGCTCCTGCAGTCACTATTTCTTGGTGTTTTCCTTTCCAAGCAATGGCAGTGAAATATATACATAAATATAAATGACCACATAGCACATGCCAATCAGATTTTGTTATTAGATGGAGCATATTTTATCTAATGCAGCTAGGACCATTAGGTGCTAAAAAAAAATACTATTCATAAATGAGAAAATGAGAAATCAACATTGTTACTGCCTGGAAGATAGATTTATACATCTGACCCACTCTGATATTTCTGTGGGTAATATATATTGCCCATATAATTATAAGTTGTAGAGGGATATGCACTCCCATGTGTTAATAAAAAATACATTTGCTAAGAAAATTAGCATATTGGTGTGAAAAGTAAACAAGTTGGGGTTACTTTTAAGGTGCTATTTAATTTGAAGATAGTCTCCAAACTTCTTACAGGTGAACAAATATATTCTAAAGTCCGAATGATGGTGATCAAATGAAAAAAATAAAAAAATATAAGAAACACGCTAATCTTCAAACAAGCTCAAACACTGATCTCTCATCTAAAAAAACCCAATGATTTTGAAGCAAGACTTATTTTACATTTAGGATCAGATTGCTGAGTTAAGCCTCTGGGACCAGGTGGCTAAAAATGTTTTTTCCATCCATCAAAGTTTGCTTAAAAAGTTGGATGGCTTGATGAAAGATTTGCCATCAATTACCTTCTGGCCAGCAATCAAAACAAGATTAGCCCAAGTGGAAATGAGTGTATATGAAAACTGAAAGGAGGAGGTAGTTGAAAGTGGGGTGGGGATGTGGGGTGGGGGTGGGAAAGAACCATCAAAGAGGTTATGCTGGAAAATGCGATTCCAGTGTACCAATTGTTACTAAGTGAATAATTATGAACAATTAACATTGCTGTGAACAGCCCCCCCAAATATAGCAATAATGTCTGCTTTATTAAATCATCCAGGTAAGGCTGGGCCTGGGGCATTTGAGAAAATGGAGGGGTGGGTGTCAGACTTTTTAAATCTGGGGACCATTTAAATCCTTTTAAGCAACCACCTTTCTTTACCTTCTGGCTTTAAAAGGTGCTGTTTTAAAACTCATCTGAATATTCCTACACTTTGTCCAATCCTCCCTGTCTCCAAAGGAATAAATGGGTTAAGAAAAAGTATGTGCAGTTGAAATCACCCTGAAAAATGCCAGCAGGGACCCTTTTTGTCAGTTGTGAAAAACATGTTTCCGCCACACAAAACAAAAAACAAAACAAAACAAAAAAACCAAGCCAAAGATAAATGCAGCCCAAACATGTCTCTCTAAGGCTGCTTCGTAAATCTCCCCATTTGTTTTGAGATCTGCACTTGATCCTTTGCAAAGAAGAGTCCTCACTCCCAGCCCTGCATTTGCAGCCAGAGGAACAAGGGGGGGCAGTCACAGTCCACCTTCTCTGAGCACTGCGCATACCAATGAGTCCCCATCTAAATAAATTATCCAATGTTCAAATCGATATTAATACTATGTTTGCAACATTACAGTTTTGCACAAATTCAAGAGTCGCTTGGCCATAATGTAAATGCTATTTCTCAGGCACATGAGGCTAGAAATATTCATAAGATTCTTCCTCTCAACCGGAAATTCAGCCAAGTCCGGCCCATGAAATCTTTTGTGTATTGCTTGGCTTCAGGTTTAAGTGGAAATTTAATAGTACTAAGGAACGCAAAAAGAATTTTTTAAAAAAACAGCACAACCATTCCCACAAACTTTCAACCCCACAGCAATTCTACTTAGGAGTAAATTCTAGTTGTATTCAGTGGCATTTATCCTTTAGGAGAGGTGCTTGTGAGTGTCCTGTGTAGAGTGCAAATTTAACTCACAGATAGCCATTCCTTTTCAGGAAGACCCAAAGGCCATCTTGTGTATTTATCCATAAATCTTTGATTTTGTTGATATATGGATCAACCGGGTTTGCAATAATAAAAAGATGCCTGAATTTTTACAGACTTCAACCAGAGCACTTCAAAGGTGAGGTTAATATCCTCTTTTGCGAAGTTAATTTGAGCCATCTATCATAAACAAAATTATGGACCAGTACATTACCCATCCCTGTTTCTAATTTAATTGGGTGGGGGTGGGGGCGTGTTGCAACTAATATGTTAGTATTGGTATAGAGTTGCCTTGTGCATTTCTATATATTTTTTTCTGGGAACCTGAGCTTGGAGATGAGAAACTACAGAACTACAGAAATGTTTGGAGATGGAGGAAAAAGAGAATAAAAAATGGGGCTGGAACCTTGAGAAAAAGGCAAGAAAATATCTCTGCAATTCTTGGGGTGGGGGGTGGGGGGGTGAAGCTTATCCCTTTCTCTCTCTCTCCATTTCTTTTTATCAGGAAAGGAGTGTGTGTGTGTGTGTGTGTGTGTGTGTGTGTGTGTGTGTGGAGTTTTGGCCTTCAGGTCAATTTTTACCAGCTCCTCTGATCACAGAAAATTGGAATTATGAATACTTTCCAGTAAAAGGGGGAGGGGGAAACCACACAGCAACAAAGCAATAATGTGGAGGATTTATTTCTCTCTCTGCCTTCCTATTCCACAAGCTCTGGTGAAAAATCTTGGCCATGGTTTTGAACCTCCTCCTCCTCCTCCTCCTCTCTTTTCTCTCTTTCTTTTTCTCCCACATTTTAATTTACTCTCTGCTCAGAAGCCAAACTCCAGACAAGGCAGCCACAGCAAGCATCCCTTAAGCCTTCCCTTTGCCAAGTGCACCGCAGAATCTACAGTAGCAAGCTGCTGCCCCAGCCCAAGTCCACCAACTCGGGAGGCCTGCTCGCTAGGCCCAAGCGAGCTTTGGCTCTCACCAAATCGGGTGGGCAGGGAGCTACCTCTGCCTTTGGCCCAAATCTCCGGGAAAGGGTGGGAAAGGGCCCGCTTCGCCGCTTCCAGACTTCCTAGCCCAGCCCGGCCCGGCCCGGCCCGGCCCGACCCTGGCCCACTGACCTGAGGTGAAGAGGACGATGGCTTTGAGGCAGCTGTATTCCGCCGAGTCCACGTGCAGGGCCTTGAGCTTCTCCACCTGCTCTTGGAAGATGCGGATGTGGTCCATGAAGGCCACCACGCGATCGGCGGACATGGGCGAGGCGTGGAGGCCGGCAGCGGCCAGGAGCGGGGCCACGTGCAGCGGCATGGAGCACTGGGCGGCGTTGAGCACGAAGAGCTCACTCCAGGTGAGGCGCAGCAGGGCCACCTGGTCGGTGATCTGCAGGTCCGGGAAGAAGGGGATGTTGCGGGCCCACTCGACGGCGCTGAAGAGCAGCCGCGCCGCCAGCTCGCAGATGTTCTCGATGCCCATGATGTTGTTGGGCTGCATGCACTGGCTGCCGTAGCGTGACGTCGGATAAGGCTCGGCTCGCAGCAGCAGCGAGATGTAGCCCGACAGGTAGCAGTGGCCGTTCAGCGGGTCGCCGTTGGTCAGCGCGTACTGGCCCGGGTTCGGCTGGCTCGGAGGCATCCTTCCTCGCTGAACCGCTGACGAAAAGAGGGAGAGAGAGAGAAAAGGAGAGGAAATGTGCATCCGGCAGCCTGGGCAAACCCCAGCCCTCCAGACAGCCGTAGCCCCGCGCTAAGGCGAAAGCAGCAGCAGCAGCAGCAGCAGCCAGCAGCCAGCAGCCCAAGCTACGCGCGCGCCCGCGCGCGCACACATATACACTCACAAGCGCGCTCCTTCTGACATACACAAACACACACACACACAAATCCGAGGGTATGGGTATGGAGAATATGGCAGACCCACAGACACGCCGCACACAATGTAAGGCCCCCTCCTCCCCTCCCGCAACCTTGCATTGTTGTGCAAATGGGGACGCCCAGATGCTCCTGCGAGGGAGGTTGCTTTTCTCCCCCGCAAGAAGAAGAAGATGGGGATGAGGGTGACAAGAACAAGAAGAAAAAGAAGAAGAAGAAGAAGGTGATACGGATAAAAGCACAAGCTTTTCAAAGCTGTCTCTGGCAACAGCTTAAAAAAAAAAAAGAAATCGTGTCCCACCTGCAAAATGTTCCCTCTTCGTCTTTCCAGAGAACAAGTGAGACATTCTGAGTCCCCTCAAGCCCAGTCGGTGCTCAAAGTTGTTGCGGTTGCAAAATACCATCCAGCCAAACCTTCCCTTGATTTGCCAGTCTGGATTCGCACAATAAGGCTACCGAACTGGGAAGGGAAGGGGGAGGCGGTGGGGTGGTGGTGTCAGGGAGAGCTCTTCTTAGCCTTTGCAAGCTACTCTTGCCTAAACAACCAGGTCCCAGTCCCACTAAACACACACACACACACACACACACACACACACACACACACACACAGAGGAAAACCTCTGCCCAATTTAAATGGAACACTCTGTGTTAAAAAGGATGAGGGTGGGGGGGATTGTTGCTGTTAAATGGAGATGGATTAAAACAAAATGTGAACTTACAGAAGCCAAACATGAGCGGCAAGGAAGGAAGGATAACACCAAGTCTTTAACTGTAGGGTTCCAGAAAGCACCAACTTGCTATGGCTTTGGCCAGTGAAGAGAAACATTTGCAACTGTGCAGCATGCACAACACATACACACACACACACACACACACACACACACACACACACACACACGCCTGCACGTACTACTCGAATGCCATGGATTCATTCACTGTCCCAGATGTAAGCCTGTTTGGATTTATTTAAAGCTGAACAAAGTTTGTGTATGCGTGTAAGGGCGTAAGTGTGTAGGGCTACTATTCCCAGGCCAGAAAATTCTAACTTGAGGTTTATAAATAAAGGTGACAAGGTGAAGAGAGGGCCTCTGGTGAATATTTTAACCCCTCCCCCAATTGATATTTTCTGTTTCATACTGTTACGTATTTTAATCATTTTCAATCAGGATATTTCTGTCTTGTTGTCAGAACCTCACTTCTATTTCTGTTACTATAGTTTAGATTTCCAGAGCTGCAGCTGTGCATTTCAAACACAGTTCAAAGATAGTGGTGGATTTATCTCCTTCATATATTTTTGTACTGATTAATTTCTAGTTGTGTTTCTTCAAGATGCCTTTCCTGACAAAAGCTGGCTGAAGCTACAAATGAAGTCATCAGTGGACAGTTTTAAAAAAAAAAACCCTTTTTGCTATGGCACAAGGGAGAAAGAATTTTAATATTTGTTTCAAATTTTCACTGCAGATAATGAATTATTTGATCTATTTGACACTTACGACATTTTTAATCAGAGCATGGGAACTAGCACATTTTGCAGTAAACCTGGATAAAGGAAAAAATAAAATAAAATAAAAAGTAGATGGAAACATATTATAAATAAAAGGCTTCTCTCTTTGGGGTGGGGGTGGCGGGGAGAACCTTCCTACTACAATACTGGAAGTATTTCTGTTTGTTTTCAAACATTGACCAGCACAATAAAGAAACTATGCCTTATGGTAACAACAACAACAGCAGCAGCAGCAACAACAAACACGGCAATCATTGACTTGGGGTGATTTGCAACTGGTAAGTAGTACTGTATTTAAGAGACAATGGGGTTTCTTAGGAAATGAAATGAAGAGCAGGCAGAGGGACGGAGTGGTGAAATGACAAAAGGAAAAAGAAAAAGGAAAAAAAAGAAAAGAAAAGAAAAGCATGTCCATAAACTTTCCTCCCAAAAGCAGGAGAGGAAAAAAAAAGGAATCTCGGCAAAGGCCAGATGTTGGGAAACGAGGAGTAGCTAGCAGGTGAGCAGAAAGCGACACAAGCAGATCACAATTCACACACAGACAGCACGCACAGCCTTGAAACACCTTCGTTTGGGGGAGGCGAGAAGTTTGACTCGGCTGAAGTTAGGATTCCCAGCCACCCCACTTCCCATTTTAATAGGAATTAGAAATAGTGAAAAGAGGCAGAAGAAGCCAGCCAGTGGAAAGAAAGGGCTGCTTATTCGTCCCTTTCCTCCTTTTTCAGTTCCGAATTATTCTTGTTATTCTTTTAAAAAAGGCTGAGATGGGGAAGAGAGAGAGGGAGAGGCAGAGGGCGAAGGGAGCAGCCGATTCACACGCTCGGCAGCCTTGGGTGCTTGCATTAATAATAGTAAGGGTACTAATAATAATCTGCGGATGGAGCGGGAAGCTGCGATGTGGGGGCGAAGGGGACGGGGGGTGGGGTGGCCAGCAGGTCTCCCCCTCCCCTCTCCAGGACCCGCTTCTCTACACCTCCCGCCTGGAGTAGAATAGGGAGGAAATCATATTCACCTTCCCTCCTCATGCCCACTTTGAGGCACTTCTTCAGGCGGCAGTATTGGCACTGGTTGCGGTGGTGCTGGTCGATGGGACAGTTCCGGTTGGCCCGGCAAGTGTACGTTAAGTTCCTGCGGACGCTCCGCTTGAAGAAACTTTTGCAGCCCTCGCAGGTAAACTGCCCGTAGTGCTTCCCGCTGGATTTGTCGCCGCACACCACGCACTCGATGTGCTGCTGCTGCTGTTGCTGCTGGCTCTGGCCGGAGCCTTGCTGCTGCTGCCCCTTGTCGCCCGGCGTGGACGGGGCTCCCGGCTGGCTCGGCGTTTGCGGCGTGTGGGGGGCCGCCGAGGCCCCTTGCTGCGGATCCCGGCCCGGCTGAGCTGCTCCGGTGGGGCCGCCCCCGGCCACGTCCTCTTGCGCATCTCGCCAGCTGCTAACTACCATTGCCATATCTCGGGCCCGCGGAGGGAAAAAAAAACACGGGGGGGGTCCGCCGGGGAAAAGGCCGGGAGAGGATGGGGGGGGGGGGGCGGGCGGGGGGGGGGGGGGGGGGGGGGGGGGGGGAGGGGGGCTTCTCGGGCCGGGGGGGAGGGGGGGAAGAGCAGAAGCGAAGGCTCAGGAGTCCTCCTGCTTGGCTGCTAGTGCTGCTGCTCTTGCTGCCACGGCCGCCGCTGCCTGCTCTCTCGGCTGGTTGCTTTCCGCTTCTCTCGCCTGCCCTGCCCCCCGCCTGCCCTCCTTCCTGCCTTCTTCTTCCTCCTCTCCGCCTCGCCTTCCCCGCTCCCGCGTTTTCCCTCTCCCCGCCTCGAACTCGGGGCGATTCCTCGGGAGAGGGCGATGGGATTCCCGCGAGCTTTCAAGGCTTCTCGGCGGTCTTCCAGCCCCCCCTCCCCGTCCCCTCCGCCAAGGCTCGGGGAGCGTTCCTGGGGCCGCCCGGCCAGAGCCTTCCCTCTGCCTCCTCCTCCTCCTTCCTTCCCTCCAGAAAGGCGTCCTTTTTCAAGTTGCAAAACCAAGCGGGGCGAAGCGGCCGGTCGGGAAAGGCATTCAGGAGGGGTCACCCTGGGGAGGAGAGGGAGAGGGAGCGGGAGGAGGAGGAGGAGGAAGAAGAAGAAGGAGAGGAGGAAGAGGAGGCGGTGGGTTCGCCCGACCCAGTCCGGGCCGGCCACAGCCCCGTAGCGTCCGAGCGGGAAAGCAGCTCGCACCGCGGGCGGAGAGAGGCAGGAAGCCGAGACGAAGAAGACCGCCAGGAGGCTGCCTCCGCCGCCTCCTCCTCCTCCTCCTCCTCCGCCTCTGCCGCCTCCGCCTCTGTCTCTGTCGCCGCCGCCGCTAGGAAGGCTGCCGGTGCTGCGGCCGCCTCCGCCGCCGCCGCCACTGCCTCCTCCGCCACCGTTCGCTGCCGGGGCCCGACCGGGGGTGTCGCCGCTGGATCGCGCTCGTCCCCGCCGCGAGCCTGGGAACGGCGGGAGGCCGGCGAGAGAGCGGCCGAGGCTCAGCTGCCGCTCAGGGCGCGCGGGTGTCCGGGGGCCAGGTCCAAGGCAGCGCCGTGTAGTCAGCCATTCAGCAGAGGCGCTTCGGGAAGCTCCGGGGACGCCGAAAAGAAGGCAGGCGCGGAGGCCAGCGCCGAGTTGAGGAGGCACTTTGGGGCTCGCTCTCTCTCTCTCTCTCTTGCCGCCGCCGCCGCCGCCGCCGCCGCCGCCGCTGCTTTCTTCGACCGGGTCTCTCCTTCTCTCCCTCCTCCCGCTTTTAATTTCGGGGAAAATCGACCAAGGCGAAGCCAGCAGCTTCGCTTTCGCCCGGCAGACGGAGGATCCCCAGCCAAGTGCCAACGCCAAAAGCGAACATGGAGAGAAGCGAAGGTTACACGCGCGCGGAGGGGAGGGAAAAAGCCAAAGGAGAGCGAGCGAGCGAGCAATCCAAAGTAGGTCGAATAAATAAACCCTCTTCTCCTGGCGCTTTCCTCGCTCGCGCTTCTCGCCTTCTTTCTTCTGCCGTGCTGGTGGCAAATAATCGCTGGAGATCGCCGGAGAAAACCGCTCCTCTCTCTCGCCCTCTCGCTCTTTTCCTTCGTTCCTTGCCTCTATTCGTTCCTTCCTTCCTTCTTTCCTTTGCTTTGCTTTTCTTTTTCTTCAGAAAAATAATCGGAGGGAGGGAAAAAAAAAGCACAGAGGCACAAAAACCTTCAGCCAGCCAAGGCTAAAGCCCTCCCCCAAATAGTAATAATAATAATAAAAAAAAGTTAAAAACCGAACGATATGAAGATGTTAAAAAGGCGTCCCCTTTGCTCTTTTCTCTTTTCTTTTCTTTGTGGTCTTGTCTTTTTCTTTTCTCTCTCTCTCTCCTTCCCTTTTAAGTTTCCTCTCTCTCTAGTCTCGTGGAGAAGGAAGCGAAAGGCTCAAAGAAAAGAAGGGTGGAAAAAGAGAGAAGGAAGAAGCAGATAAGGGGGGGGGGTGAAATCAACTAATAGAATATGCAAGAAACGAGAGAGAGAGAGAGAGAGAGAGAGGTGGAGAGAGAGGGAGAGAGAGAGAGGCGGAGAGAGAGAGAGAGAGAGAGAGAGAGAGAGAGAACCAAAAAATGAATGCGTTTCAACGGGAAGACTAGCAGAGCAATGTTTCCGAAAGGGAGATCTGCGCGAATGTCTGTATATAGTGAACTTTGACACTACTATTGAAACTGACACGTTTCTATGGAGATCGCTGCCTTATATGGAGCTCATGTCAAGGAGCCAAGAGAGGGGCTGCTGGCAACTGATAATCAAAGGCGACTGACTGGTCAGAGCCCTGAATTGGGGGGAGAGAAAATGGGAGGCTAAGGTTAGCCAAGCCTCCTTCACTCCATTGGCTGAGTCTCCTCTCTCTCTTGTCTCTTTCCCTCTCGCTTTCTCGCTCCCCCCCCCTTTTATTCTTTGCTACCTACTGCCTAAGATAGGGAGGGACGAGGGGGAGGGAGGAAGAGGGAGGGGGATTCTTCTGACAAGCACAATTTACACTGAGATCGCCCTGCTCGGCTATTTACTTTGAGACCTGATTAGTATGGGTCGTCTATGGTCACACACAGACGCACACGCAGGAGAAAAGAAAGGAAGACGGGGGGGGGGGGAGAGATGCAGTGGGCTAGGCAGAAAAGGAGAATTAAAAGGAAATTATTTTGGTTCATTGTAAAAAGTTTTTTTTTTAAATGAGTTTTCTCTGTGTCTCTCTGGTTTCCCTTCCTTTCCTCCCTAAACACCCTGTTTAGGAATTACGGGGCTTGGATTGGATTCCATTGTTTAATGGCTGGAAGTAGATGGCTAAGGAGAATCCATAAGGGAAGTAAGTATTTAAAAATACATGTATGGTTCCATATGTTACAACCTGACACGTTTCGCCTCTTTCTCTCTTCCACCAATCTGCCTTCTTTGCCTCGTTTTAAATGTGCCCCCCCCTCCCGTTTTGTTTTGTTCTGTTTCCTTGCTGTTGCTCATGAATGTCCTTAATCGGAAAGCAGCATCTCATTTCATTTGGAGATCCCATCTCTCTCGCTTTTTTAATTTTTACTGCTTAACTTAAAATAGGTTGGTATTTTACATTAAATTCTCCTTGAACTCATCCCCGCCCCCCCACCCACCGCTTCCATTAATATTTTTCTGCTGTCTACCTGAGGACCAGTGTTGCAAAAGAAAGTTGAAGTGAGAGAAAGAGAGAGGAAAAATGTTTAGAGGGGTGTATGCTGGGAATAGCGTTCTCTCTCTCTCTCTCTCTCTCTCTCTCTCTCTCTCTGTGTGTGTGTGTGTGTGTGTGTGTGTGTGTGTGTGTGTGTGTGTGT